AAGCTACATGTCAGAGCTGACAAAAGCTGGATTAAATTCAGTGGAAGAATGAAATCCGGTGTAAGCTTTAAACAACATGTGGCTCTTTTTTGTAAGGAAATTGACAATATTTGCTTCCTTTTATTTAAAAATTAATTTGGCATGCATATCTTAGAAAGGCAAAGTGATCACTTCACGAGCTATCCAGAGTAGTCACGAAACGCAAAAAGCTGCAAGACGGTGTTGAATTTCGAACAGTATGACCTGCAAGATATTATTCCGGTGACCTAAGTGGCTTGACCACGGCATATTAGTTGTGTCTGAACCCCACCACAGTTGATATTACACCGCAACGTTAGGTTGTAATTTGATTTATTGAGCGCACGCACTTTTAATTGGAGGGGTGCGATGTGACTTACAGCTTTATCCTGGTGGCAAAAATGGCTGACAAAACGCGTGCATTATACTTTTAATTTCATATTGTTTTCAGGCGGTTTTGAAATGAGTTTGGCTCGCTTAAAAATACATCAAACTCTACAATTCTGAGCCAGATCGTGACGCGATGAAGCTGTGATAAGCATTTGCAGTGATATTTCCTTGGTCGAGAGACCGATAGAAGATATTCTGAACGAAACGGTAGATTTTTGTGTCCTTTCCTCCGTCGCTCACGTAAAACAGATTGGCATAAGCACGTGGCTCGTATTGTAGACAAATTCCGGTGAGCAGATTTATCCAGGCAGAAAAAAGCTATCAAAGGGCAGTTTGCACAAAAAACATCGCTGATCATCGCCCATGGTCGTAAACTTCGGTCGTAACTTCGGTTAATTTCATCGGAGCAGAAACAGTTCCTAAAGAAAAGTTATTTTCAAGCGATTGTCTGACAGCCATTTTAGAGAATTTTAAAGCAATGATCTACTTCCAAAACTTGCCTTAACAAGTTCGTATCTCAGGCATAAAAGGTGACCATCACATTTTAAATGAGATGCTCAAAAATATTGAAGTCAACTGTATAGACACGGCTCATTCCCATCTGCCTCACTGAAACTAATTACCCTCACTCGACAAATTGGTCTGGGTAGACTCGATCAAATTAGGCAAGCTAATTTTATCGCTCACATTGTGCACCAGTTCACTGGCAGTTACGGGCAGAAAGAGTCACCAGCGATCACCACGACTGAAGAAACACATTTCTAAACGGTTATCGAAGGTGATGATGCTACTCTCATCCGATAATCAGACAATCTCAAGAAAACCAGGGATCATCCATTATGAAGCACTCCAGGACAATTGACCCTATTTTCGTTTTTAGGCCACTATAATGCAACCGAAACGTCGGATTCTTGAAGGTTAGTGAAGCTTTATCAGTTGGATTGCGCTAAACAATCACACGAACACAAAAATTGTTGAAGCAATCATCCATTTGTCGTGAAGTAGGTCATACATTTCCATTTTTGGTAGTCTGTCCTTTTCTACTCGTCCGTTTACCAGGGTTTAGCGAACTAATGTTTTGCAGGTGGTGGTGTGGTGATCCTGGCTTGGGAGATGAAGCACACCACTGGGCAACACGATACAGTTTCCGGACAACTGTTTTGCTCACGTTTTTAATTTTATAGGTAAAACTAACTTTAAAGCTTTACAAATTGTCGTGGAAGCCATAATGGATAGAAAGGAAGATGTGCACTCCCCTCCCACTTTGGGTATATCCTTTTAGTTATACACATAATGTTATCTATCAAAGTGAATGGTGGTGTGGAGGTAAACACATCGGAGGACGGAGGAGGTGCTTACGCAATCGTTCGCCCAAAGAATATTCCGAAAAGGTTCAGTGCAAGGTCAACACAATCAATGTGCAGGCACAGCTCAATAGCATACAAGTATACTAATCCCTTGCGTCAGCACTCATGAGACATCTGTGAGGGGAGACGCCAATAAGTGGAAGTTCAAAATTATCTTTATCTATCTTTTGCCAGAAAGCTCCGGTTATGATGGCTTGTGGAAGCTATAGCAAACAACTGATGAAAACTCACCGAATGTCAACATAAAAATTGTTACTTCGGTTTTATCTTGTTAATGTCGGTTTGTCTTCTTCCTCTCTCCCGTGGATACACACACCGTCAAATAACCACTATATCGAAACGGATTTACCTTGAAACCTTGGGTTCGCTCATTTCATTTCTTGGACCTGCCACAAGCATTATTCCACACTGGCAAAAATGACGTCTAACCGTATTTGGGCCATGATTCTATGGTGATCCTGGTCTACGAGCTGACGCATACCACGGAGCAACACGTTACAGTTTTCGGACAAGTGGGATGAGTCAAGCTTCCCGGGTGACGTCAGCAAAGCGCGTACGCGTCACAGCTTTTGGACTACAGGTCAATTGTACCTACCAATCAGAAATCGTGCTGACCAGACAAAAGCTGAACAACACCAGAAATACTAGCACGCGATTGGCAGACTCCCGGATGACCAATGAGTTTGTTTTGTACATATTATTTAGTTCCCCAGATTTTTTTCGATGAACGAACTGCTATTCCTGTGGCCTTTTCCTCGCGTCTCGGTTACGTGGGATACTGCGTGGAAGTACCAGTGTGATCCGGTGCTCACGTTGCATCCGTGATTACTAGTCCGTGATTTCTTGTTTTGTGATTCGTACTCCGTGATCACTGCATACTACAATTACTACAGGTACTACAGATTCCCTGAAAAATTCGATTTCATCAATCTACACATATTTAGGATCCGACTGACTAGGCCACTCACGTATTGTGTTCGCGTGGGGACAAGAACCGATTTGTCTACGCGTCTAGCTACTGACAAATACTAAACTGATCGCGGTCATGATACACGATAACTTCAGCGGTTTTAACAGGTTGAAGGCTGCAAATGGATTACTGACGGCAACCAAACGAGAAAAAATATCCAGCTCGGTCGAACTTGGGCAAAACATCTTGAGGTGCGGCAGGGCTGGCCCAATTGCATCACTTTAAGCGCTGTATGGAGTACTACGCAACTCGGCATCCCTTTGCGAACAATGAATTTGTGGAATAAGCCATAAACTAACACTAAAAACACCGAAAAATTCGTTTACTAAAAGTGCTAATCACCTAGAATTATTTTCTTTCCACACTCATCCTATTCAAATAAATTGTATGTACTTTTCTACATCACGCAACCGCTTCTAATTATTTCGATTAAATAAATCTGGCTAATCACAATTCCAGACTGTCACTGGATATATATATATATCGTAATGAATGTGTTCACCGTTTATCACGCTAAAAATAACCATAATCTTTTGCTTTTTGATGTTTTAGTGAAGATTATGAGAATAATCATCAAACACCAGTCCAATATTATTTATAACTTTACCTTTGACGATTTCCGCGAACATCTGTATTTATCCACAATATGTACAGTTCATTTAGTATTGCTTGCCGTTTTTCGCTGCCTGTATTTACTTGTTCGTAATTAGTCAACCAAAGGGGTAGCGAATAGACAGT